TGCGTTCTACATGGTCTCCCTGAAAACAAGACCAAGTTGCGACAACGAGGTCAACCCACTTCTATAAAACAGACAAAACCCTTAATAGAAGGAATGAGTGTAGTAAGCGGAAGCTACTTGTGGCTGTTGGATAGGTTTAGACAGAGGATGAGGGGAACGAGAAGTATCACCGAGCAAGAGGAGGAGGCCTATTACACTGGAGTTCGGTTTTGAATGTCACATCACACTCATTTCAAGAGCAATGCACTGACACAACACGTGTACAATGGGGCGCAATCACATGCGGTAACATTGCAGGAGCAAAGACATAAGTGGTTCATGGAAGGATGCAGGTGTTTGATTTCAATTGCACCCATTTCACGCTTCATCTGTAGCCACTTTACGTGTCATCCGCAGCCACTTATGAGCAAATATAGAGGCAAAACATAGGACATCCAACCAAAACTTGAGATGCATAAGTGGGCCAAATTAGAATATAAGAAAGTGAGTTTGAAGCCAACTATCTTTCTTGCTTTTATGTTTTTGATAAATTATCGTTAAGCATGGTGTCCTGCTCTGACGATGTCTGTCCCATGACGTACGAAAGCTCAGCAAGGATTCATCGGGTCGCAGGGCGGTGCGTCGAGGATCTATTCGCACATATCTACAACCACAGCTCCAAGGCAACCCACCACAACCTCTTGTGGAGCCAACTTACAATCCCTTCCACTCATCTCTTCAAATGAAATGAAAGGTACTCCAACATTAATCTATTAATCTATTAAGTTTTTCTACAAAAAGTCTCCGAGTTGATTACGGATTATTAGTCAAAATAAGTCAGAAGATATAGGCATTAATTGGCAACTAGAACAAAAGGTATGCTGATTACGCACAGGGTGAACATGAGAAACCAAATAATAAATATATAGAAGAAAAAGAAAGCACATAAAGATAAATCGAGATATGCAAACTCTACCGAAGGGCCTGCTGGCGCTGCCTCGCTTCACGCATAAGATCCCTTAGATCTCGCGATCTATGAACTCGTCGCTTCTCTTCAACTGTATGTACCTAATCCAAAGATAAGTAGAGGGAGGATAGAACGAGATAAAATTAGGCATTTGTGTTGATTTTAAATATTATCCACTTATAGCATTCATAGAATTTTCCAATATGGTTAAATTATTTGAACAAGCAACGGTGATAGGCGTGAATGTGAAAAGATAGCTTACTGTACAGAGAATTGAGTTTCTGCATTTTAAATCATCCATTTCAACACAGCCACACTGTACAAGTGGATCAACCGAATCTTCTGAAAGATAAAAAATCACATGCTACTTATATCGATTAGTAGTAGGTTAATTACATGTGAAAGGAAATGATGAATGGAGATATTTTACTTACCCTCGTCTTCCTGCAGGGGTTCCTGATTCCATTCAGAAGACAAACTCAATGAGCTCTGCGAATGACATGCAGAATTCACTATGGGGCTGTTAAATTTATATATGTATCCTCTTGATGAGGATAGAATAGATGAAGCATTAACTGGCGACTCAGTAGAAGGGTATAAATGGTTCAGAGATTTAGAGGAAGATAGTGTAGAAATAGTAGTAGCTGAAGAGATTAAGGAAGTTTGAGCAACAGTTGTAGAGTGAGTCCTATTAAAACTAGACGGGAGATGAACCGATCGAATGATCGTTGATCCCGAGGTTGGAATTAATTGATGAGCTCCCCTAGAAAATATGGAGTGTTGGCGTAATCCAACGGAAGAAGCAATATTTCGAAAGCTCAATGTACTTTGACGCTGAAGATTGTTTTGCATATTGGTGTCGTCTATAGAGGGCCACAAACGGAAGCCATTTCTTGGAAATGATACACGGCTATTAGACCAAGTAGTGCTACATGCGGTTGCATCGTAGGCGCCTCCACTAAGTCGATAGTTAGTGGGTGAATCTCGGTCCGAATTATGAAGCGTAGTACTATCGACATCGAAAGATCCTGGCATGACATTGTGGTTGCCAGTGTTAGGAATGCTTTTTTGGTTCGAAACAAATTCAACATCAGGATCGATCTCCAGATCATCATCACCATCACAATCGGCAGGATCAGACGGAGATAAGCTGAGCTGGTTGAAGAATGTGCGGCTTTGACTTGGGTCGGGGTGGTTATATCTTGTTGAACGAGAGTGGAATGAACAATCTGGGGCAACTCGATTGGCTCCTGCAAACGACAGAGTTAAATTGTGAGACTTCGAGGAAATGGGTGGAAGTTTGCGCTGAACACAAGGCTGGCATGGTGAATCTGTGTAATTGCTGCATGTGCCACTGGCACTGCTAGCTGCAAAGGAATTGGAGGCAGGACGTACTGGTCTTTCCGAACTGGTAACAGAAGGCTCTTCAGAATCAAGAGCCGATTGGTCTTGACAAATGGGGGAAAGGGAAGGCGTCGAGGGATATGAGAAAGGTCTC